TGCACTCACGACCTAAAGTACTAAGAACAAGTTTGAGACTTGCTCGGACACCTTGACCCACTCCTCTCCTCGCCCAGATTTATCAAGCCAGCACATATGTCTGATTGTGTTGTCTTCAGCTTGCGCCATCTAAGACTTTCCTCTTCTCAGTCTGTGCCCTTAGTTCTATCCAGGGCTTCATGCTGGAGGTGCTCCTGTCCGCAGCTACTCTGAGATATGACTTTGCTTGCAGAATTTTGAGCATGTCTGCAGTAGTAGGCAGTGCAAGTATATATCGCACACTCACTACCGGTGTATCTCTTGTCATCATCATCATAATGTAGCAGGTCCTTTGCAGAACGTCGCTCTCATCACAGACTGCCTGAAAGAAACTCGGTCTCTCGCCAGTTCTCCTGCCTCATGTACTTTCATACTTCTATCCTGTGCCCATCTTCGTGTCGGAAGGCCCCTGCGCCTCGTTCCTGGTACCATGCCTTCTGCTATAATTTTTTCCAATCCGTCGTGATGTTTGATTTGACCAAAATATTTCAGTTTCCGAGAAAGGATGCTGTTTATTAGTCAATCTTCCTTGATGTGTTAGATTTTTTATGATGTCAATATTTCTCCTCTTCTTTGTCCAAGATATTTTAAGAATCGTTCTATAGCATTTCAGCTCAAAAGCCCCTATTCTCTTTCTTAAGGACTGAGAGATAGTCCACGACTTACATCCGTATGTAGCCACAGGGAAGATGCGTGTTCTCAAAATTCTAATTTGTATCTCCTTGTTGGTGGGTATCTCTTGTACATTCCACAATTACCCGCATGGCTTCATTCTGTATGCTTTCAAGTTTTATCAGCTGACTGTTTGATATGGTAAGCATTCCAACTCCACAATCTATCACCTACATGATTACATGCTGGAACATTGTGAACAGAATTCTTTGTTCCATGTCCATTGCTGACAGCATTGAGTCCTTTTTGGCATGTCATCGCAACTGCATCTAAATGATCGCTGAAGGACATTTTATATCGAAAATGATAACCAGGTACCTTAGTTCGCTTTCTCTGTTGATGTTACTGATAACTGTGAGGGTTGGAACATCAGCTCTTACAATTCTATTGTCCAAAGAGCGCACATAACAGCCGCCTTTTCTGAATTGATGTCAGCGCCCATGTCTGCACACCAGTCACTCACTTCGTCTACATTTGCCTGTAGATCTTGGGCTGACTGTTGCCTTTTACTCCCCTGCCTATATGCAAGAACAACATCTGCAAATGTCAATATCCTTTCAACACCTGGTACTTCAAGTTCTGTAAATGTCAATATCCTTTCAACACCTGGTACTTCAAGTTCTGTAATCTTGCTTGTATACACATTGAACAGCATGGGTGAAATTACAGAACCTTAGTGTAGTCTGGGTATTATTTCATGGTTCCGAGGTCCATGTACCCAGACGAAGGGCAACCATGCAGGACAGGCGCTATCCAGTTCACAAACCAGGGACACACCCCCTTCTCCATGTGTGCAGATATCAAAATATCATATCTGACTCTGTTGCACGCATCCTCAAGATCAAGTGCTGCTACAACCATCTCGTGTTGGCATCAGAGATTCAATATTATTCCCCAACCTTGTCCGTACTGTGTTTATGATATCAGCTCTATCAATGAAGACAGAAACGTTTCTGCAACTGTATATCAAGGGGACATAAGTCCCTGTAGCTCTGACAATTTTCCATAATGAACTTTTCAATATATCAATGCCATGGTTCTGTCTGTTTTTGTTTTTTTTAACTCTTTCAGTCCCAGAGGTTTCAGCATCAGAAGGGATTGTCAAGAAAGACACTAAATCGGCGCATCTTGCGTTAACTGGGCTTTTAAGTAGGAACCTATGAACGCATGACGTGTTCCTTGGGACTGAAAGAGTTAAGAAGAATCTTGTGCATGATATTTCAGGACCATTTTTGTCATCACATGTAGGGTCCTCTGTATTTGACAGCTTTGATCTCAAGCCCTCATCTCTTAACCGATCTGCCAATGATTTTCAACTTCCCAAGAGCAATGTGATTCAATGACATATTTTTTTCATGAAGGTTCTTTTCTTTTAATTTACCCCATCTCAGGAACTCTGAGATTTCGTGGGGAGTCCCTAGGAAAAGATCAATAGGGTTTTAGTGTGTGAATTTAACTGGTGCTATCAGAATTTTAACTTTTGCTTGCTGCTGAAGATGGGGACAGACTGCTTATGGGGGTGTCCTGAGCGCTGTGATGTCGATTTTTTTTTTATATTCAGAAACCATGAGTTCTTAACCCTTTGGCTCGGTACTATAGATATCGCAACCCTTGGGCCTTGATTCCACGATAAATACCGTAAACCTGGGAGAAATGTGGCTTTTCTGCCTACCCTGGGAGTGAACCCGAACCACAAGAAGTTCATCACCCGGTAGTCGCGAAGTCATGTTTAGCCAACTACGCTAGCGAGCCAGATTAATGTTGATTCTAAATTCATAACACAACATTTAACTTTTGTGTCAAACAAATACCGAGTAACCCTAACCCTAAACCACCAATAAAATTGGACTTTCATGGAAACTACTCACGAAATCTATGAATATCTGAGATGGGGTGAAATAAAAGAAATCCAAATCAATACCTGTATCATTCAGATCCTGCATGCACACATCTTTAAATCCCAGTAGCGGCCAACCCTGACATCTTCGGATATAAAAAGGGTTGCCAGATGTGGACAAATTTTAAAAATTATGGTTGTTCAACCATTTCTGGACTTTAGCCGTCTTCCAGAACTAGAGTTTTGCTTTCACATCTGTTTTATGGATCTGCCTTATTTGTATGCAGACTGTTGATTCTTCACCTCTCAGGTAGATGCACTCAAGACTTTAGTCGACACTTACAGCTTGCATGTTAGACTGCTGTGGGTCTATTCTTGTTTCCACACGACGGAGCCCCAGTACCCAGACAGGACAAGTTTTCATTCAAACACTGTGTACAAAGAAACATAAAATGACAACTATGAACAAAAACAACATTTTTAACTCACTTTTGTTTTGTAAATTTATATCACATTCTAATTCAAAGAAATAAAGGTTTGAAAAATCTGTCTAGATGTAAACAGCATCCTTGGCACAAACATGTGTACAACAAAAAATCCAAACAATTTAATGCATTCAAGATTACAATACATTTCAGAATTATGTGAATACACACACAAAACAGAAACATGTCAGTGCAAGCTAAACTTAATTAGCAAATCCAACTATAAGTTCTCCTCAACTTATGACCTATGACACATTTAACTACAAAAAATTAATGAAAGATAACAACTATGGTAGGATAAAATAGTTCCCAGAACTAAAGCCTAGAGCACAGCAGCATCTAGACCTCAAGAGTCTGTTCGCCCTGCGAATGGCATGTGAAACACACACACAAACAAAAACACGTCACGTACAGACTAACATGATTAGAGGGTCAGCGAATATGTTAATAAGAAAAAATTTGTACACAGTGAAATAAAAGAATCATGATAAACAATGTGCACTGTTACGTCTATCCCAGACAGATCTGAAGAGTTATTTAACAGTCTTGTTCTCCATTTTCAGAAACATCTCGTACCCAAGGAGGAAAGGGTACGTCAATTTGTTTCATCTTTTTTAACCTTTCTTCTTTCTTGTGGTTCAAAATATGATGCAGAGCTGTTTTACTTTTCAACTGGGGTTCAAAGTGCACTAAAGTCCTATTTCCCCTTTCATACTGTTTCATGTCCTACAGAATAATGCTACAGTGCTCTCAGCTAACTCCTGCCAGGCCGTCCCGTCCTTTGCTGCAGTTGTAAGTTCCCCCCATATTTCCTCAGTAAACAAGCACATGAACAAGCCTCATCTTAGTGGTTCACCACTGTGTCCGTGTGGGTTGTGCCAACAAACTTCAGAAACATCTCACGCGAGACTGTCCCTGGTTGGTTGGTTGGTTGCGTCTCTTGACAGGATGTTGCAGAACCAACCCCCACAATCTTTTTGGCTGTTTCGGTTTTTGTAAGCAAATTTACGTACAGTAGTTCATCACCGCATTCTGAACAGCTGGCTCTTGATACCATTGTCAAAACCCATGCACGGCGATGTGCTGCAAAATTACCTGCAGCTTTGATAAAACCTGGCACCCCAGCATTATGTAGCATGTTCGCAATGCCTAAGCCACAGATGCCTCCTGTACATACCTTGTACATACTTTTACATACCTTGTACACACCTTGTACATACCTTAAAAGGGAATCAATGGCTAGCATCCTACATAAACTTGTATGGAACTTCAAAGAACGGTGAACTTTATTACAAGAACTCTCCACTGTTTGTTTATATCAGCAAAATGCTTCTTCAATCATCTTGTCTTCCTCCAGCTCCTTCATCCTTTACTTTTACTTTACATCTTCCATCCTCTTGTCTTCTCCAGTTCTTTCATCCATTACTTTTACTTTACATCTTGCATCCTCTGGTCTTCCTCCAGTTCCTTCATCCAAGTGTTGCAGACAGACGTCATAATTTTGTGTGTGCTCTCTGTAGTGCCTTGAACAGCTGACCTTGACTTCAACAGATCTCTGTGTGGGTTCCGGAGACCTATTGTAGTGAAAACAACAACAGATCCACTACCTACCCAAACGCATGTCGTAAGAATCGACTGCTGGGAGCTTCCTTCGAGGTTGGAGTGCATCTGCCTAACAGGCAGGGAACCAACAGTCTGCATAAAAATGAGTCAGATTGGTAAAACACTCAGTTCTAGAACAGGGCTACAATCCAGAAGTGGAGGAACAACCAGAACGTTCCGCTGGAGTTTACAGCTGGTGAACACAAAGAAGAAGACTAAGCAGACGGTGTACACAAATTACACAGTTACAAACATGAAAAGTCTTTTATATGAAGAAAATGCAAGCATACATAAAATATGTTGAGAAGCCCTGATAAACTAAATAAAGTGCAGACTGTGTCAAGGGAAGTAAACAGCAAAATTGTTTACTCTTCCTTTATGCTTGGGTTGTCTCTCCATATCCTATAGTTAAGAGCCGAAGCAAAAGAAACCCATCCAAGATATGGCAGCAACAAATAGGCTGCTGTCTCATTTACTCCGTGGAACGTATAAATGGTGCCGACTATTGCTCCCCACATAAACACAATGTTTACAAATGCCTGGGGAAAAAATAAATAAATAAATATTACGTGGAGAGTGATTACAAACGTTCATTAACTCCAGAAAAGGAAGAACCATTAAAATCAAAAATGATGAACAACAATTAAAATAGGCGCTAGTTATATATATCTTGCCGTCCTTTTTAGGATGACATTTTTCGTTATTTGAAGCCCTACTCTGGCTCATGTCAGGGGCCGCAATATAGTCTGGCCATAAATATTGCCTAATGGCTAACCGCCGTTTTTGGGACCTCTCCACGGTGATCCTCATCTACATGGTGGCACATTGTGTCATCGGGTGTTAATAACTTGTGTGATGTCCTGGTGGGATAGAAAGTCAGTCAGTCAAGCAGGCGAAGGATTTTACATATCTGGGAAGCATTTTTTTCAGAAGACGGAAGAATGAATACAGAAATCCAACAAAGATGCAATAAAAAGTCAATCAAGTTTTAGGCCAAATTGCACCGATTGTGAAATGCAAGCATGTGAATATAAACACTAAAAGCACACTGTTTAACATAATATTCTTACCAACGCTCTGTTATCAATGTCAAACATGGACACAGCCACAGCAGAAATGAAATGTTTATGTACTATGCTAGGTGTAACAAGGAAAGATCAACTTAGGAACGATGAGTTCAGGAGGAGAATCTGCACAGAACCAATACTGAACTTTATAGCCCCTGGCTGTTGTGTGGTTTTTCTAGGCAAATTTACGTCCAGTAGTTTGCCATTGCTTTCTAGACGGTCGGCTTTCTTGATACCACTGTCGAAACCAACGCAAGGCGCATGGCTCGCAGCTGGGATCAAACCCGGCATCCCGGCATTATGAAGCGTTCGCATCGACTTAGCCACAGAGCCGACACTGAACTTTATAGGTAGACAAAAAAATCAAATTGTTTGGCCATGTAACAAGATTGGCAGCAGACAGGGTACCACAGAGAGCAATGTTATACAGATACAGTGGTAACAGACCACGCAGAAGATGGACCGCAGAAATATCAGACACACTAAAAGTTACTATATACAAAGTAAACAGATGGGCGCATTCTAGAGATCTCTTCCTCCCAAGACGCTGGGAGGCATTCCAGAAGTAGAGAAAAGAAGAAGAAGATTAACTGCTGCCCGCACACTGCACAATTTTAGCGGCTGGGACATTTTGCTGTATCTCGTCAGGTACATTACTACAGAGTTACATTTGTTTACACATATAATGAAGCATTACTTCATTACACTGAAATACACAGATAACATCTTTGGCATTACTTTATCTCTCACCCTGAGAATTTTGAGATTAGTTACATGATTACCATCAGAATTTGTTTGTTCGCCCATTATTTAAATTTATATGGGGAAGAATTATTTTGAACAGCAAAAGGCCAGAATAACAAATGTAGAGTATACAGAGAGAGAGATTCAGGCAATCAAGAGGTGAGGAAAAGATGCTGGTACCGGATACATACTGCAAAAAACCTGATATTATTATAATTAAATTCCTCGTCACATAATTGGGGATTTCCTTCGAAGTCAGAGTGCATCTGCCCACAAAAAACAATAACAGACCGACTGCCTCCCCAACAAGCATGTCTTAAGAGTCACCTAATTAGGGATGTCCTTCAAAGTCAGAGTGCATTTGCCCGAGCGGCAAGCAACAACCAACTGCACAAAGACAAGCCAGCAAAACGGATGTACACACAAAACTTAAACCTTGGCACAAAGCCAAAGTCCAAATGGATGAACAACCAGAACTTTTCCATCAGAGCTTACAGCCGGTGAACAAAGAAGAAGAAGCGTACAATGAGACTCCCCTTTAAGTGGACTCCACAGGGAAAGAGAATACAGAGATATGCACAAACATATGAGGAAAAAAAAATTAGAGTGAGAAGTCATGCATCGGCTGTAGGTCACTTAGGTCCAGGAAATGGTCATCTGAACAAGGGGCTAATGTACTATACCCATGATGACTGTGTTCCATTTCACTCTCCAAGCCCAGAAACAAGTGGTATGTGCAAGACCAGTACTGGAACTTTAACACAATAATAAAAAATTTCAAGTGCAGGACATCTTTCACACCAGTGGTGCACAGGCCATATGATGCTACAATCATCTTTTTTTTTTATAGATCAATCTTTATACAGATCAATCTTTTATAGATCAATCTTTTTATAGATCACATCTTCTTATTCATCAATTTTGCAACATCAAGCACCAAAGTAGCTTGGAAGAACAGTAGCAGAGGGTATGGTACCAGGTAAGGGGGGCAGGGGGTGGACTGGCACGAAGATGGACATAGAACAAGAGACACCTTGTGCAGGACAATGCATGATGTGGGTGAGTTGCAGCACCAGTTGCTGTTGACCGTCTAATCAGTTCCCTGCATGTCGGTTAGTCAGATGTAATAGACTTGATATTGCATGTCTGAGGCTATCATTTTGGCCAAATTCTGAATCAAAGTCTTTAATGGTCTGTCTCTTTTCATCTTCCCCTCTACTGAGCCGTGTAATATCATTTGGGAGAGGCAAGTAGATCTTGTTACATGTAATACCATTCTACTGCCTGTCTTTTCACTGATTTTATAAGAGGTACCTGTTGCCAATGTGCTGACCGGGGAATGGTAGACTTCTTCATTTGTGATGTTGTACATGAATGATATAGAAAGGACAAAGTTAAGTTGGATAAAAAATGCTATCTTACCCATTTAGGACTGTGAAGTCCAAAAAAGAGTGGAGTCCAAGCCCAGTTAAGAGCCAGCTGGGCAGTGTACCAGGCAAGAGGTGTGGCAGCATCACCCCCAAAGCCCTCACCATCTCTCCAGACAAGATACGAGGCAAATCCCATGCTGCTGTACAGAGCCGTCCACGCGATGGGAAATACTTTATTAGGCGGACGCCAAGATGGCAGCTTCAAACCCTGAATTATTAAAACAGACATTACTAAACTGAAGCAATATTTTAAAACTGAATAACGAACAGAAAGATCATGAAAAAACAAAATAATGATAACAAGAACAAAATGGCAGATGATGTGTAGATGTGTGTTTGTGAATTGGTGTGTGTTTGTGAATTTCGACTGAACAAAGCTGTTCACGTGTGTACAAACTGATTTGATGAGAACTGGTGACAATTTTAATCGATATCTGTGCGTCTATGTGGCTTAAAGGTTAGTGGTTGTGTTTCACTATTCCATGATCATCAGTGCACAAGGGTTAGATTTCCACTGCAAACATTTCTTTTTAAAGGATCATTATGTTAGCTTTAAGCAGTGTTCTCAAGTCACAATGTTGAAAAAATTGAGGCCCCACACCACACAATAAAACTTATGTCTTACGGTCGACTTAGACCTGTGTGATTTACGAGCCATGTGACATTCGACCTATATGACTTACGGCAGTAGCGACCAAGATGTGGTCAAGGATGGGAGAATAAGACTTTCTTTCACTTTCCTGAGTAAAGCTAGGCAATTAAATCTAATATTGTATAAAATATTCTTTATCTTGTGAAATGCTGCTTTTTCTAAACAAAACTTTCACCAGCAGTTACCAAGATTCATAAATACATGAACACATTGACTTGAATGGAAAAAATAGATCAGAAATGGCAGTTATAATGGCAAAAAAACCTACCTCATACCAAGTCTTGATATTTCTCCTGGTGATGAAACCGCCCACAAATCCTCCCAGATTTGGCAGCAAAATCATTGCTAACGGACGCACATAGTCAGACATCTGTGGAGTTGAATACAACACAGTTTTCACAGACCACATTCATTACTAGTGAGGTAATGTTTGAAATTTATCTGACACTACACTCATCAGGCTGAAAGTACACCATCAGTTTTAGTTCAAAAAGAGACCAGTCTCCATCTTTTAAAGGGTGGTTGGCACATTTGTTTCACTGTTTACAGCTAGGTCGGGATATATGCGCCTTTTGGCTCAATATATCTGACTTCCGCAAACCCCTAATTAGTTTTCTTTTACAGCTGCGAAATGTTTGGTTGCATCTGTGTGCGTCTTTTCTATTTCCTCCGTTGAGTTTTTTTAGTCATATTTTATGCTGTATTTAGCATTTCCCAGGTAATGCTGTCAACATTATGTAGGCCACCTTTACTTTCCAGAAAGTGCAAAGTGCAATTAACCCTGTCACCCCAGGAACACATGGGGAAAAAAAAAAGTTATGTGCCCATGAGAATTTAGAAAAAAAAAAAAGATTTTTGTTTTGGTTGTTAAATTTTCACACTAATTTGTTTTAAATGTATCTTAATATTTATATACTTAAAAATAAATTTGGCTATATATAGGGAGTAATCAATAAACATGAACAGATTGAAGCATTACAAGGAATACATTCCCCAGGACCTAAAAACATATGTATTGTGGCCATTTAACCTCTATCTCAGGAGACAATTAATTTGACGTCAACTTGGCTTTCAAAATGTCTTTTGACTCAAAGAAAAACCTCCTTTAATGCTTTTTTTAGTTAATTTCTTAATATCTTATTTCACCCCCACCCCTCCTCCCCCAACATGTGCAGAGGCACGGGAACTCAGCTGACAGCATTAACTATGCATCTTGTGAAGTGGTCGCTAAAGAAAAGTAGGAAAAGTGATACTTTCGAGGATTTGGAGCCAAACAGAAATGTTGGTTTTGTGGCTTTTCTCAAATAGTTACCCCATAGTCTCATACAGGAAACCAATAATTGACTGTGCCCTTGTTGCACATCTTGACCTTCATTTGCTGATGAATTTCTACGGGTTTCACCCCTTCATTTATCCAAATACGGATAGTAGAGCACTGCTCCTTTTTTGGTGCATGTCATTAGTAGAGCAGTGCATTTTTAAACTGTCATTATGTCACCAAGTTTGTCTGCATTGATGTACTTAACAATCTTGACATCGTTAACAAAGATACTCGCAGACTATAAGACCATGGCATGGCTACTGTAATTGTACGGCTTTTATTTGAAGACCCATGGTATAACTGTTTTATAACTTCCATTAGAACCACGCTTGCAGTAATATTCTCCAAAGTTACTACAATGTTTGGTATAAAAAAGGTATTTCATTTTCTGAGATATTGTTCTGTTTATTAGCCATTTTTTCTTTCCTGTGATAAGCGTCAGTTGTAACAATGGACTGGGACAAAGGTAACTTAGCAAATACACCACTCTGCAGGCTACAGAAATCAGTTCAATTCTTTTTATTTTTATGTTCGGTAACAAAACTGGAACTCATAATTAATAATACACCAGCATTAGCCATTACTTGAAAACCTTCGAGAACAAAACAAAAATACAGAAATTACAAGACATGTCAGAGAGAACAACAAACATAATATATACTTTAGACAATACAGTATTCGTGGCGTTGCTCCGTTAGTCTAAAGGTTAAGTGCTCCGGTGAGGACTGCCGGCGGGTTTGACAATCTCTGACAAGGTAACAACTGAACACACTTATATAACAGGAAGTCGGGAAACATGAAATGACTTCTGCAAATCTACATTCAACACAGTTTTACAATGTTGCTTAAGAACAATTATGCATGCAAGTAATCTCATAGTTTTTAATTTAAATAAAATGAAATTTCAGTACTTTCTGCTGTCTTTGTCTCAAACCTCAGTCGCTGAACAGAATCAATAAACGTCTTGTCTGTGTCCACCATCAACAACCAACAGTGATGGTCCTTGACTCTTGACATCTGACCTTTCAACTCCCCAAGGTAAGGACTGACTACCAATTTGGCTTGTGGAAAGCTTCTTTTAATTTAATGGTTATTAGCACTTCTGCCATCTTTGAAGAAGTCGTCTTAGCTGCAAAAACTGGTATCACAGTTCATTTCCAGAACTTCAAAAAATAAGCCCCCGGACGAGGCCAACACATCAACTGAGGGAACTGACACGCCCACGGAAGCGGACAATTCAGTAGCAAGTGCAGCAACCCAGAGGACAACTAACACAGATCTTAGTTAAGCTATCACATCTATCTCCGTCTTCCGACCTCACTGTAAGTCCTCAAACACTATCCCTCAATTTTCAATTGAGCCTACTCTCACTTATCTCCACTACCTCTCAACCATGTGTGGCCAGAAGAAAACTGGATAAAAAATTGAAAAAAGAAAAAAGCCAAACAGCCAAAAAAAAAAAAATTAAAAAAAAAACAAATACAATTTGGCTAAAAAAAAAAAAAGGGCACAAAAAAAAAAAAAAAAGAAGAAGAAAGCTTACGCACATACACATGTATGGAGCGAAAACAAAAAAGCTAACAAAAAGAAGTTAAATTGGGGACCCTGAAAAGGGCCGTGTTTTGGTCTGACCAGAGTGCTATATGATGACGTACCAAGAGGATGCAGTAGTGCGGCAAGGCGACGACGGACGTGACAAATACAAATAACAGCTCAAACACCGAGCAAATGCTAAGGCGTATAGAAACGCCGCAAATAAGGAAGAAAATATATCATTGGAGAACAAACTCCAAGCACACAAACAAAGCCACGATATAACCAACGCTCAATCTAGGAGCCGGTTGAAAGAGGCAAGAAGTTTTTCGTTTTTTTTATCTACACCAGTACCAGTACCAAGAGAATTTATAAATTTAACATGGTAATGACAGAAGCATTATATAATTATCCATAGTAGTATAGTTTCTATCATAATCATCATCATCATGTAGCAGGTCCTTTGCAGAACGTCGCTCTCATCACAGTCTGCCTGTAAGAAACTCGGTCTCTTGCCAATTCTCCCGCCTCATGAACTTTCACACCCAAGGAGTCACCCACATCCTGTGCCCTTCTTCGTGTCGGTCGGCCCCTGCCCCTCCCTCCCGGCACCACGCCCTCCGCCATAATCTGTTCCAATCCGCCATGGCGCCCGATACGACCAAAATATTTCAGCTTTCGAGAAAGAATGCTGTCCACTAGCCAATCTTCCTTGATGTTCAGATCTCCCAAGATGTCAATACCTCTCATCTTCCCTGTCCAAGACACTCCGAGAATCTTTCTACAGCATTTCAGCTCAAAAGCCCCCACTCTCCCTCCCAAGGACTGAGAGATAGTCCACGACCCACATCCGCATGCAGCCACAGGGAAGATGCATGCTCACAAAATTCCAATCTCCATCTCCCTGCTGGTGCTTAACCATAGACTTTTAAGGCTGTTAAATCTTTGCATTGCTATGGCCCTCCTCCTTTTAATTTCTGTCGAACGGTCTCCATTGTTGTTTATTATAGAGCCTGGATATTCAAAGTTTGTGACACTCTCAAACTTTCTATCATAATCACAACCCAGACAAAAGCAATATTTGAAGCAATACAATTTACATATCGGGCATATAAATAATTACGCGATATATAAATATAAAATAACAAATATATTCTCTGAGAACGTGATCGACACTATATATCACATTTATAACCTTGAGATTTGAACTGTATGTTTTTGAAAAAAAAAAAACAATTACTACTACTCGTTATCACTGCATAAACAAGTTATAATACAGTGAAGTTTATACTGGAAATAGCACTGTGGCTAAGTCGATGCGAACGCTTCGTAATGCCGGGATGCGGGTCATGCGCCTTGCGTTGGTTTCGACTGTGGTATCAAGAAAACCGACCGTCCAGGGGGCAATGACAAACTGCGGGACGTAAATTTGCCTAGAAAATCACACAACAGCCAGGGACTGTTTGGGGTTGGTTCTGCAACGTCCTGTAAAGGATACGCAACTAAACTTATACTAGAAATAACACTGCAGATACAGATGATTTATTTTGGGAGACTGGAAGGAGGAGGAGAAGAAGAAGGAGAAGAGGAAGAAGGAAGGACAAGAAAAAGAAGAACAACAAGAAGATGAATTGACAATTAAGAAGGGTTGAACAGGGTAATGTTGACATAATTGCTACTACTTATTCCATTGTGGAAGTAAGTAAGTAATAGTTTAGAACCAAACGGTACTTGGTGGGCGATGTAGACAGCACCACTCAAGGCTGGGTCGACCTGGGAGCCAAGGTCATTTTTAAAAAAAAAACTCCGGCCCCGTCAGTAACCGAACCCACGACCTTCCGATCCACAGGCGAGCGTCTAGGCGCTAGACCACGGCGGCTCCCTCCATCATGAAAGACTGTTCTTAATAAGAACAGGTCTTGCAAATTACACATGAGCCACAGTATTTTTATTGGAACTCTGCGCTGGGCAAATAACAACTCTATGGATGAGAATCTTCATCATTATCAATATGTTTCCACTTCTGCCGTTAAGAGGTTGTGGGGAGGACAGTTTGCGATTCATTGATAAGTAGCAATGACGATTATCATTTCGTTTCGTCGTAGAAGCTCTTTAACGCCATCAAGCCATATCCTCCAAAGACGGCCTCTTGCGAATATTAACAGAAGCAATTCCTAGAAGCCCTTTTGTGTGTTTGTTGGGGCAAGTACCTGGTTACTCCCGGAAGCAGGAAATATCACAATCAAGATGGCTTCTCCAAATACTTCTACGCTGTCGCCTAGCAAGAAGAAGGATGAGTCCTTCCTGGAGAAGATTGGCACTATGGGCCGGAAAAAGAAAGCGAAAGAAGGTAGATGTCATTATTATCTTGGTTTACTGATGGTAATTTTTTTATCGTAGAATTACAAATAAAATATTCAGTTTGTTTTGGGTGTTTCATGTTATCAGTTCGACTCACTCAGGTCATTGCAACCCTCTAAGATAGTAAGATTACCGCCACCGCCCCTCCCTCCGCCCCCCCCCCCCCCAAAAAAAAAGGCTCGAACCTGCTGGATCAATGAGTCTTTTTCTATACTCCCGGTGGCCCATTACCATCACAGTGGCGACTGTTAAGAGGCTTTTCCTTCTATCTCAAAGCTGAAACTCAAAACTGCTGGCACCCATTCATTGAAATTAGAAGCTATTATTATTGATTGTTACATCTGCAAATAATATATATTACTTAGCAATTGAATTGAATTACTCACCCATCATTACATCAGCCAGAACAGAATGGGAGTTATAAGCCTAAAAACACTTGGAAACATACTCAGGAGGAGATTGAAGCACTTACTTATGGTCATGTGTGAAGATAATCTGAAAAATGAACAATTGATTATTCCCATGCTTTTTTCCCTGGTGGCACACAAAGGTACTGTACTCAGTACAATTATCTTTTTAAGGCATAATTTTCCTCTCAGCTTTAATAGACTTTGTGATAAGTACCTGGAATATTTTTGAGACACTTTCATATGTACCGTGAACTCACCTTTTTTTTTCTAGATAAAAGCCCTTGTATTACTAATTTAAGTACTAGTAAGGATTTTTTTTCAATTTTTATTTGAGTGACATTTGATTTACTTGTACATTTTTTTCTTCAGTGTCAGAGCTTCAAGAAGAGGGCAAGAATGCTATTGAATCTCCAACTAGCCCACAGTTGCCTGACATAGGACCCGAGGGCTATCAGCTGGGTAAGTTGAATATTTACTGATACAGACCTTCTAGACTTGTCACAGAAAGACGCAAGCGTGTCAAGCCATCAGACTAATATATCTCTTGTATCTAACAGTTTGGCTACTGTAGAATTCTGACTCATTAAATGTTGAATTTAATCCTCAGAAGACCTGACCTAGCTGGGGCTGCTTCCAAAAAGTTACAGTAAGTATTGGGTCGCAAAAAAAAAATTGCAGGAGGACTTTTTCTGTCATCAGAGCGTGAAACAGATGGTTTAACTTCGCCATGTGTACCTCTTTTTCTCTGTGTCTATCTCTTTGTCTAGTTCTGTATCTTTCTGCGCCCCTCCCTCCAGTTTTCTCTTTCGGCAAGATTTCAGCTCCAAGCTTATAGAATTCTGTCTGAATGTTATGAACAATTAACTTGGTCTTCTTCTTCCCTTCCTCTTTTACCACATCTGATGTTAAAGGTTCTGCTTCTTGCTCTTCTAGCTTCCTCGACCATAAACACATCATGTTGTTATAGACTTTTCCTGATATTATCTTTCCCTATTGTTCTTGGTCTACCTCATGTTCTACCTCCCTCACCTCTTTTATTGTAAGCCTTGTATTTTGTATGTTTAGGCCAACCATAATTCAAGTCACATTTCTGTTGGGACAGTATCAGTTTTTGAACAGACCCAGACTTGTCCCCTCAATACTAAAAAAAAAAAAAAAAACATTTGGGACAATAAAGATTTTTTTTTTTTTTTTTTTTTGATTTTTTTATTGTCAGGGCAATTTAGGCCTACCTAAAAACGATATGGTCACCTTGTGTATGGGCATCACAATGTATTCTTTCTAAGTAGGCATGCCATTTAATTTGCCATCCTTTTATGTAGTTGAGTAAAGATTCTATGCCGACTTTTTCTCCTATGACTTCATTTTTGATTTAATCTCTTCTGGTAACTTCTGCAGCCTTTTTTAAGCATCCATTTTCCTTCGTTACTAATTTTCTGTTGTGGTTTGCTGTGAGTGACCAAGTCTTGCCAGAACAGTCGGCCCTCAATGGGTAATGTGGTCAAATCACACTGGTCGCCTTTACTTTCCATGACTTTACCTGGTATCCAGTTGAGACTAAATTGAACTGGGAGCTAAGGTCATGCTTGAAAAAGTCCAGCACCATGTTCATTTGAACCCATGACTTCCGCCTAAATACCCCTCAAATAAAAGCCTACTCTTGCAAATCTCACCACAAAAACGTTTTCGATGTGTGTGTGTGGTTCGTATAACTAAGGTGTGTTTTTTTTTTTCAGCTGATTATGAAGAACGGTCAATGATTGAGCCCACTTCCCGTGAAAATCCCAAGTTGGTTGAACTGATCAAGGTGAATATGCAACCTCTGCTGTTTTGCCTCCTATATATTTGGCGAGAGGTTGCTGTATGGTGTGGATACATGGTATCAGTGTGATGGAAAGGTTGCAGTGTGGGGACAAGGTAGCAGTGTTGGGGGAAGGTATCAGTGTGGTGGAGAGGTTGCAGGATGATGGAGAGGTTGCAGTGTGGTGGAGAGGTAGCAGTGTGGTGTGGGAAAGCAGTGTGGTGTAAAAAGCTACTTTTATTTCAGATCATTAGCACATTGTTGCTCAGGTCTTCTGGACGCTAAATGGTGTTTGTATCCACTCTTAATTAGTCAACGTTTACAATGTGCTTCTTATGGAGCAGTGACAGACCAACAGTCTGCAAAAAAAATAAGCTAGATCTGTAAAACAAATGTGCATGTGTAGCACAGCTCCGTTCATTGCGTACAGCAAAGTTACACCCAGGTTCGTCTTTAGTTTTGCTACAGGAGTCAATTTGGAATATTATAGACGAGGAGGAAGATGGTCATGTCGATAGTGATGATGATGATGATGTCTTGCTAGCTGCATGCTTCTCACGTGATTTTGATGCTTGTATAATAAAATAGCTGGAAACAACTGTTCTTGTCTATACTGTCTTTATTGTGATACCTGAGCAATGTCACAGATAACATCAGTGATATTCTGAAAGGCCACTGCTTTAGCTCTATGGTTAAATACTCGAAGGTTCGCTTTGTGTTTTTCATCTTTAGTTACTTTGTTAATTGGTTCTAGTGTCTGTAAGTGGCTTCTGGTGCTGTCTGATACTAACGGCTTGATCGTCAACCATCTCTATAGTTTCCTACATAATGTGTCTCTGTTAACCATGGATCTATGTATCTTGTGTGTTGTCTCTGTAACTCGATGTCTATTTTCACGTCTCGTATCTAGTGTCTATCTTTGAGGCTCAATGTGACTGGCTCCTCTCCTTCTAAGTCTTGAGCTGGCATCTCCACAACTGCGAGGGTCCATGTTACTAGTCCCTCTTCTTGTGAGTCTCGACGGCTGAAGGCTTTGAGGGTCAATATTACTAGTCCCTCTTCTCTTTAAGTCTTGTAGACCGAAGGATTGCTCTGAGGGTCAATATTACTAGTCCCTCCACTTTCTAAGTCTTTGTAGACTGAAAGCTGCTAAAGTGCCTCGTTACTCATTATTTTTACTTGGGTGCTGGAATGCTAGTTTTCTTCTCACTTTTTCTGCTTCTAGAATATTTTAGTACAACTCAACATGTTTACTATGTATGTTCTCACATGGGATTTTCAAATTATATCTTAATTGCATCATCTTATTCTGCACAAATATAGTAATTAAATTGACAGTTGATGTCATAAAGCCTCCTTAAAAAAAATACTACTACGCTCTCTCTGAAAGGGCATGTCAACAATGACGTCAAATACTTTTTACAAAATATTGTTGCTAAGACCTGTTGATTTTCTTCTCATCAACTACTACGCAAAATTCTACCTCCTGACAAACAAGTGATGACATCATTAGTTAGTTTTGGCGGGAAAAGAAGGCCACCAAAACTTGTTGATTCCGGTACATCCCAGCTCTGCGTAATATCCTAACTCCTAACAAACAATTGATGACGTTTCCCTGTTACACACGCAAAGTTCAAGTTCTGGAACAAAATCAAAGTCCAGAAGTGGATGAACAACCAGAACTTTCCACAGGAGATTATAGCCGGTAAATGCAAAGAAGAAAAGAAAGCATTACATGTGCCTGGTAATTTGTTAATAACGAGTAAATGTATAGAATTTTTTAGAGTTGTGTTTGCTGATTTCTTGCAGGTTCTGCTAGACTGGATCAACGATGAGCTGGCTGACCTTCGTATCATTGTCAAGGACATTGAAGAGGATCTGTTTGATGGACAGATCTTGCAGAAGCTGATTGGTTGGTCACATTTACATAAAATAGTTAATAACTTAGTTGTGTCTCTTACAAGAGGTTGCAGAACCAGCGGCAGCAATTATTTTAGCTCTTTGGTTTTACTAGGCAGTGATATGTTCGGTAGTTTCCCGTTACTTTCTGAATGGTCAACTCTCGATAACTTCATCAAAATTAATGCAAAGCGTTCTGCCACCCAGATCGTCCACAGCTGGAATCAAACAAGGTTTCCTGGAATTATGAAGCATGTTCAGAACACCCAAGCCACAGACAGAAACCACATTTGCATACCTGTTTCCCCTTCCCTCATCCCTTTTTTCTTTTTCTTTCAGGATTGCAGATTTTAGAATAAACACCTGAAGGATGAGAATCAAACAGGTAGAAATCCAGAAACCCTGTTCAGCCATATAGCATAGGTATTTAGGGCAACCCTACGGTTACAGATTGACTGGCAGGTCTGTGTGGATGGTGATAATGGGATGACCTACTTTTGTTTTGTTTTTATTACTGCCTTTATCTGAATGTCATTATTTTTTTTTCTCTATACCTCAGTCTGTCTTTCACTGAGTGCTTCTGTCTGTCTCTTTCTTTCAGTGCTAGCATGTATGATTCAGAGTATGTGTCTTCAGCACTGTTGTTAGCACTGAGAGCTTTTGTCTGTCTCTTTCTCTCAGTGCCAACATGTCTGTTTCAGAGTATGTGTCTTCAGCACTGTTGTTAGCACTGAGAGCTTGTGTCTGTCTCTTTCTCTCAGTGCCAACATGTCTGTTTCAGAGTATGTGTCTTCAGCACTGTTGTTAGCACTGAGAGCTTGTGTCTCTTTCTTTCAGTGCTAACATGTCTGTTTCAGAGTATGTGTCTTCAGCACTGTTGTTAGCACTTAGAGCTTGTGTCTGTCTCTTTCAGTGCTAACATGTCTGATTCAGAGTATGTGTAAGCGTCAGTTTTTGTCACTTCACTGTCTTTTCATATGATAGTGTCCCATTGTGCTAGAGGGAAGCCTGTGAATCGCAGGCTGTGGTGATCCCATTTAACTCTTTTGATTCTAAGCAGCGCACTATGCATTACGTTTTTTTTTGGGGAGGGGGGGTTCACATGATCTACTTTTCTCAAATCCATACACCCCATACATTTACTACACTAACCCACTCTGTCCCAGTTGTTACTTTATCTTAGTATATTGATATTGTTACTTAATCTCAATATATTAACTTTTTTTTAAATTTCTTCAGACCAAAAGATTTTTTAAAGTAGCAACTTTAATGGGGAAAAGGATATAACAACTATTAAAGAGGGAGGGGGGATGTAACAGCAAAAAGTAAGACATGCCTGTAAGTAAAATAGCTACGGTCAGGGATGAAGTTTGGCCTCTGTAGCTCAAAGCCTGGTCAGTATTGGAGAGACAATGTTTGACTCATGCAGCATAATTGCTCTCTCTCTCTCTCTCTCTCTCTCTCTCTCTCTCTCTCTCCCCTCTCTCTCTCTCTCCCTCTTTCTTTCTCTCTCTCTCTTGTCCATGTAGCATAACTCCTCCCTCTGCCTGCCTTGTTTACTGCAGAGGAAAAGTAACACCAATACATTTTGAACAAAGCAGACTACAGAAGCTGCCAGATCAGTAGAGCAGTGCTGTCTCTCCTTGACCAGCTCCCACCAAGGCTAAAAGCCATCTCTGCCACAATCTCTGCACATATCACTGCCTCATTTACCAGAACAAAAGTTGAATTAACTGTTTTTCCTTGTCTTGTACAGAAAAGCTATGCAGGGTCAAAGTTGAAGCCAGGGAGGTAACTCAGTCTGAAATAGGTCAGAAACAGAAGCTGAGAGTTGTCCTAGATTACATCAACCACATCCTTGGGGTTCCCCCAGTTTGGAGCCAGCAGAAGTGGAGCGTTGACAGTAAGAATTGTATCTTTATACATGCTTGTTTTATTATTTATATCCAAGACTGTAATCTTTTATTTTTGAATTTTGTCATTTTAATCTGAGACTTTCAACCATTTATTTCTTGGAATTTTGTCATTTATATCTGCAATTATTCAAATATATCTGAGAATTGAATCATTTATGTCAGAGAATTGTATTGTTTATATCTCAGGATTTTATCATTTATATTAGATAATAATTAATATAAATAAATATATAATTCTGAGAGTTTTATCATTTATGTCTGATAATTATATAATTTATGTCTAGGACTTTTATCCTTTATATCTGATAATTATATATTTTATGTCTAGGACTTTTATCCTTTATATCTGATAATTACACAATATATGTCCAGGACTTTTATCCGTTATATCTGATAATTAAATTAGGCTATCCTCCGAATAACGGGCACATATTATGGCGGCCAAAAACAGGGCCTCAGTCACATGTAAATTGCGAACTTCCGGCCACTTAATTAGCGGACTTTCGGAGACTACCGGCTACCGCTCACGCGGCGTGGATTGTGGCTAAACTAGATGGCTGGGACTCACAGGCAAAGCTGCAGAAGATGCAGAAGCTGCTGCTCCTAAGTCCCAGCCATCTAGTTTAGTCCCAATCCACGCCGCGTGAGCGGTAGTCGGTAGTGGCGGTAGTCTCCGAAAGTCCGCTAATTAAGTTGCCAGAAGTGCGCAATTAACATGTGACTGAGGCCCTGTTAGGGTGTTTTTGCGGCCGCCATAATATGTGCCCATTATTCGGTGGATAGCCTTAAATAATTTATGTTTGAGTCTTATCATGCATGTGTGATAATTATATAGTTTATATCTGAGAGTTTTATCATTTATGTTTGAAACCTTCATCTCATGAATAAACTTCACAGTGCCTGTGTGATGCCCAGAGCCCTTAGGAAAAGCGATCAATTATAACACTGCATGAATGTCATAAGAGGCAAATAAGTGTAGGGCTGGGCTTTAGTTAGCAACCTTGTCCCATTAAAAAGTGTAAAGTGAGTGCCATAAAAGCCAACAGAGTTAATGAGAGATGGGGGGGGGGTGGTTTTAAACTGCACAGATGTAATGATTTGACAAGACAAGCTCTAAGCAAGTTTTGTTTAGGTTCTCTGCCAAACAGTTTCAGCATAATAAAAAATTAAAAATAAACATATTATAACGGGCACTATTATGCCAAAAACAGGGCCTCAGTCACATGTAAATTGCGAACTTCCGGCCACTTAATTAGCGGACTTTCGGAGACTAGACTACCGGCTACCGCTCACGCGGGCGTGGATTGTGGCTAAACTAGATGGCTGGGACTCACAGGCAAAGCTGCAGAAGATGCAGAAGCTGCTGCTCCTAAGTCCCAGCCATCTAGTTTAGTCCCAATCCACGCCGCGTGAGCGGTAGTCGGTAGTGGCGGTAGTCTCCGAAAGTCCGCTAATTAAGTTGCCAGAAGTGCGCATTTAACATGTGACTGAGGCCCTGTTAGGGTGTTTTTGCGGCCGCCATAATATGTGCCCATTATTCGGTGGATAGCCTTAAATAATTTATGTTTGAGTCTTATCATGCATGTGTGATAATTATATAGTTTATATCTGAGAGTTTTATCATTTATGTTTGAAACCTTCATCTCATGAATAAACTTCACAGTGCCTGTGTGATGCCCAGAGCCCTTAGGAAAAGCGATCAATTATAACACTGCATGAATGTCATAAGAGGCAAATAAGTGTAGGGCTGGGCTTTAGTTAGCAACCTTGACCCATTAAAAAGTGTAACCATAAAAGCCAACCAGATGTAAACAAGACTAAATAGGAAACTAATAAAAAGAAAATAAATGATCAAACAACTCAAACTGGGGTTGGGGGGGGGGGGGGGTAAGTGAGTGCGCTCTTCTCTTTAAAAAAAAAGATATGAAGTGAAAGCTTATAAGGGATCCATATTGCTGACTCGCCCTTTCAGTTCAGAGTTAATGAGAGATGGGGGGGGGGGGGGGTGGTTTTAAACTGCACATGATGTCAAAAATTAGCATGATTTGACATACGCCTACAAGCTCTAAGCAAGTTTGTTTATAATATTCCAAGGTTCTCTGCCAAACAGTTTCAGCATAATATTTCACTGCTTTATACCTGAGGCTCACCACTGGCTTTTTGTGAGATTTCTGAGTCTTAACATGTGTGGGTTTTTGTGCCTAATTATTTATGGGGTTTTTGTGTCTAAACATTGTTATGGGGTTGCTGAGTCTAAATATTTTATGAGATTTCTGTGTCTAAATATTTTCTGGGATTGCTGAATCTAAATATTTTGTGAGGTTTCTATGTGTATATACTTTATCTTGTGAGGTTGCCATGTGTATATACTTTACCTTGTGATGTTGCTGTGTGTATATACTTTATCTTGTGAGGTTGCCATGTGTATATACTTTATCTTATGTGGTTGCCTTGTGTATATACTTTATCTTGTGAGGTTGCCGTGTGTATATACTTTATCTTGTGAGGTTGCCTTGTGTATATACTTTATCTTGTGAGGTTGCTGTGTGTATATAATTTATCTTGTGAAGATGCCGGGTGTGTATACTTTATCTTGTGATGTTTTAGGTGTGTATATACTTTATCTTGTGATGTTTCAGGTGTGTATATACTTCTTGTGATGTTTCAGGTGTTCACTCAAAGAACCTGGTTGCCATTCTTCATTTACTGGTGGCCTTGGCCAAACACTTCAATGCCCCCATCAAGATGCCAGACAATGTCACCGTTACCCTACTGGTCATTCAGGTAGTTGAGTTCATTTGAGTTGATAATCGACAGCACTTTTGATTTTCCCATAAACACTCCACCCTCACTTTCAGCAGCCAGCTAAGAATTCCAGTTCCGATGGTGTTAGTAGCAGTTAGTTTATATGTCCGTCTTGCCTTTCCTCTAGTTGTTGAGTGTCGACCAGATCCCCTGGTCATTCCTAACTGTACCACTGTCTCCGAAGATCTGCTCATGCCTCTGGGTTATTCACATGCTCTCACAGGGACCTGACCTGAATCTAGCTTCTAATGCATCACTTCAACGCCCAGTCGTGTAACTATAAATTTATAATTCAGGTTGCTGTACACATAAGAAGCATTTTTTGAGAGCTGTTTTGTAAATTCTGTTGCTTCTGTGTGGTTAATCAACTCAGAATAAGTATGATGAGTTGTTTTATGTGTATAAAGTTATTGAGGAAATCGGAGCACCTATGGATTTGTCCAGTTTTTTGGTGATAGTTCTCACTAATTCCTTACCTGTTGTAGACAGTATACTAGGGCAATGTTTCTATTTGGTGGTCCATAGACCCCTGGGATCTAGGGAAGAAATAATGGGTTTGTGATATCATTTACAAAATAAAACAAACTCAGCTTTAGAGTGCAGTGATTCTTGCAGTTGTAATATATATGTATAAATTCTAAGTTCTTCTGAATAATTGTTTACAACAAACATAGGGTCTGACTTTTGAAAATTAGAGGTATTCACAGGTCTCTCTCTATCTGTCTGTCTCTGTCTCTCTCTCTCTCTCTCTCTCTCTACTACTGTTTTTAGTTTCATTCAGAACAGAGCTTCCCAGCTGCACTTGAGTCTGCTACCACTCTCCCTGGAGTGTTCCAGTGCCCTCCAAATTTCATCAAGGTTGCTACCCCCCCCCCCCCCCCCCTTTCCATTTCCCCCCCTCCCCATATCCAACAGATTCCCCCCCCCCCCCCCCCCCACCACCATGTTTAGTAGCGCCCACATTGGAAAATACTGGTCTGTTAAGACTAAAACCAAATTTAGAAATTGAATCCGTTCAATTTCTTTTAAAACCCTGAGCAGCAGCAGATGTCATATTACCAAAAAAGTGTAATTTTCGGTAATTGGATTTAACCAAAAAAAAATGCTATCTACAAAAGTTTTTATTTCTATGTTTGATTAGCTGTCAGCTGGGCCACACACAAAAATGTCCACTGTTTATGTGGGCCACAGGTGTGAAAAGGGTTGAGAAACACTTATATATAGAGTATGGGTCTAGCCCTATATGCCTGAAGGTTTGGAAAAGGATCCTTTGCTTGTTGTCGTTAATTGATGTAATAATTTCCTCACAGTATTTGCTGGCATAACCGTGGAGCATTGTTTTTCTATTTTCAGAAAGTGGACAACATACTGCAGACCAGATATGTCCAGGAAGAAATCACTACAAATTATGAGTAAGATACAACAGCTGAATTTATTGTGTGTGTGTGTGTGTGCATCGTGCGTCTGTGTGTCTTTTTTTTTTAATTTTTTTTTATATTTTAGCTAACAGAAAGTACAGGTGAATGTATATGGAAGAATGAATAATGAAATACAACAAAGATTGTGGGCAGAACAAGAAAAGACTCACTGCCAATCTAAAAACAAGCATGTCATAAGAGTAAACTAATTATGAGCTTCCTTTGAAGTCAAAGTGCATCTTCCTGAGTGGCAAGGAACAACCAACTGCACACAAATAAGCCAGTAAAATGGATGAACATGCGAAACTCATATCCTGGCACAAAGACGAACAACCAGGACTTTCCACACTGGAGCTTAAGCCGGTGAACAAAGAAGAAGGATAATATACAAGAGTGCATCTTATACTCGAAAAAATGTGTAACTAAACATAACATTGACAAGAAAGCTCAACGGACAAAATGGAAAAGATACATACAAATACTACCAAATGTTTTGACAGATTTTTATCAGCTGAGAAAACAAACTGATTAAACGATTGTTGAAATCAACATGGAATGCATATACATAATATAAGAAAATATTTAAAAGTCTGATAAGAAATATTTTGACCTGGCCTGATAAGACTTGACATTGTCGTAGCTGTCAAACTTTCTTGTATTCTAATTTCAGCGATGCTGATGGACGAGGTGAGAGGGATGCCTTTGACACACTTTTTGACCATGCACCTGACAAGCTAAATGTTGTGAAGAAAGTAAGTGTGTGTGTTAGATAATTTGGTCTTGCCTTTCTATCTTATTATCATCATTATGTCCTTTGAAGAAGTGTATTCCAAGTGCAACCTGCTGGACAGCCAATAGATTCCTTGCTAGTTTCCTTTTTCTTCTTCTGCGTCTGGTTTTAATGCCTTTTAAAGCCAGTGAGGTAAAAATTACATGAAAATTTATAGAAATAAAGCCATTTTCTCAACAACAAAAAACCCCAACCACACAGTGGTATTTTTTGTAAAGTTGCCATCCCCTGGCATGCTGAACGTTTGTGCAGACTTCAGTTAGCTAGACGTGTCAAAATAGTTTCTCTGTAGTGAGTCAGGAAAGCAACTTTTATTGGAAAATTGTACCGGTCAGTTTTTTGGCTTCTTGGGGCCCCAAAAAAACTACAGAAATCTGTGCTGCCAGATGGGATCAGGCAGTGCTTAGTTGTAGCAGGCATAGGATTGCCACGTTGGCCAACAGGTGGGGATTTCAGCACATGACAACAGCCCCCATCTGGCTGCCAGCATTTGGAATGAAGTCGAAAGTTATTTTCTATGGTTTTGGTTTTGAATACATTTGCATTCTGAAATTACGTCCCAGGTGAATGAAAATGTGTCACATCTGCTGTTAATGGTATCTTGTTTCACAGACTCTGCTGACCTTTGTGAACAAACACCTGATGAGGCTAAATTTGGAGGTCACAGATCTGGATAACCAGGTGAGGCATGTGTCCTTAAACATGTTTGTTGTCTGATCCTTACGATATTTATTTTCTTATCCTGTTGGTGTTTGGTGTTTGACTTTGTTATCTTTTCTTGATATGGTGTGACTTTGCCTCTGTTTGTTGTCTTATTTAGACTATGGTATGTCTCACTTTACCTCTTTTTGTTGTCCTGTTTTGACTATGGTGTGTCTCAATTTACCTCTGTTTGTTGTCTAATTTTGACTATGGTGTGGCTTACTTTACCTCTGTTGTCTTATCTTGACTCTGTCAGCATCATGTGCCATGTCAAAAGAAACGGATTCACCATCTCACAAGTTTTAGATCAGTTCTGTGTTCTTGATCAACACTAGTCTTTGGACTGACTGACATGATGGTGGCAGTGATGATGATAATACCATGTGACTGTGACGTGACGGGATCAGACAAACATCAATAACAGGAGGTGCCTTGCCGACTGGCGTGGACGATCATGTCTCTCCACAATCCACTATCTCCTGCAGCATGTTTTAGTTCGTGTGCTGACACACCTCCATGCCAATCAACAAAACTGTCAAGAATCTTTTCTTCTTGTCTTCCTCTATCCTTCTTTTCACAGATCTTTCCAGTGGTCACAACATTTTCTATTTTCCCTCTTCTCACAACATGGCTCAAAAAATAATGACTGTCTCCTTCTGATGTCTGTGATAAGTTGTCTTCTGGCTTCTGCCTCTTTCAAAACCTTTATTTTTGATTGCTTTTTTTTTTTTTTTGGCTGTCCAAGGTATTTTAAGCATTCACTCTTGTTTGCTTTCCCAGTTTCATGATGGAGTTTTCTTGATCATGTTGATGGGCTTGCTGGAGGGCTATTTCACCCCGCTGTACCAATTTCACGTGACCCCAACCACATTTGAGCAGAGGGTGAGTTTGGTGAATTTTTAAATTGTCTGTGTGTAATGTTTTTGTAAAACAAATAATGAATGCTTCCATGGTCTCCTCACTTTACACTGGTAGAGGAGCACGAATATTCCCCACCTTGTAGTAATTATGCTATGTAAACCACTCTCCCACTCTGCAGTAGTAGATATGGCAGTGTTTCCTCCTTTCTCCCCTATCACTGTAATAGTAAATAAGGTAGTATTCCTCTCCCCAACCATGCTGCCCACCCTATGGGGAGGGGGAAGACTAGTGCACCTATCTAGCCTTGTAGAGGTAGATAATCTAGTGCCTTCCCCCACTTGAAGTGGTAAATAGTTCCCCCATCCCCACCTTGTAGTGGCAGATAATCTTGTGTGTGTGTGTGTGTCTCCCTCCTCCCCCCCCCCCCCCAACCTGTATTAGCAAATAATCTAGTGGCCCCCACCTTGATGTGGTAGATAATGTAGTTGCCCACCTCCCCACCTTGAAGTGGTAAAAAATCTACTGTCCCCTCTTCCCCCACCTTATAGTGGAAGGTGGATTTCAAATATCAGTGGTTTCCTTGTGTGGGTTCCAAAGCCCAGTTGGGAAGAAAACAACACTAGACCCACTGTCTCCCCAACAAGCATGTCGTAAGAGTCGACTAACTGGGAGATTCCCTCAAAGTCAGAGTGCATCTCCCTGAGCAGAAAGGAACAACCAGCTGCACACAAATAAGCCAGTAAAATGGATGTACACGCAAAACTCCGGCCCTGGCACAAAGTCCAAATGGACGATCAACCAGGACTTTCTGCCGGAGCTTACAGCCGGTGAACAAAGAAGTAGAAAAAATGTCAGGGGTTAAGGTAATGTGTATCTCCATACCATCTATCCATCTTGTCGTGTTGAAAGATAAAGCGCATCGCAGATAATGACAGTAAAGATATAAATGGAATAGATATTAAACATAATTATGGGTGTATAGTGACTTCTTCTTCGTCTTCTTCGCGTTCACCAGCTGTAAACTCTGGCGTAAAGTTCTGGTTGTTTATCCACTTCTGAACTGCAGTCCTGCTCCAGAACCTGAGTGTTGCGTGTGCATCAGTTTTACAGATCTGATTCAATTGAATGAAGACTGCTGGTTCCTTGCCTCTCAGGCAGATGCACTCCGACTTCAAAGGAAGCTCCCCAGTTAGTCGACTCTTACGACATGCTTTTGGGGAGGCAGTGGGTCTATTCTTGTTTTCCCCACAATAGGGCCCCGGAACCCACACGGGGGAAAGTATAGTGACTGAAAGGAAGATTGTTGAAATAATGATTAATTGCTGAAAATGTCAGCCACAGAAGACTCTTTTTATTGTTTGTTTTCTTGTTTGTCGTCTGCTCAGGTTCATAATGTCAAGTTTGCCTTTGAGTTGATGGAGGATGCAAGTCTGCCACGTCCTAAAGCCAGACCTGAGGGTGAGTGATGGAATGAGAGATGAAAGGAGGGGGTGCAGAGTGTATAACAGAGAGGGAAGAAGGTACAAGGTTTATACAGATAAAAGAAAAGAACTTGTCTTATTCTCGGGTGTCCATACCTGCACAGGAGAGCAGGTTACACCCGGCTGGTGTCGCCGTTCACCAGTGTCCCAATTATAACTTCCATGAAGGTTAAACTGGGTATATGGGATCTGCCCTGTTGAGAGTTTGTGATCTTAAGATTTCAGACCTTTAGGTATTAGTCGCGAGGTGAAGGACAGCTGGAAGAGCCCTTTTCGTAACTTTGTATAATGCCAGGTCTATATTTTTTGTAGTCCCTTCAGCGATTGATGTGTGATGTTGTCAGAAAGAAAAAAAACAGTTAGTTGTGAATCCATAACAGAACTGCAAAACCAGCCCCAGCATTTTGTGGTTTTTCCAAGCAAATGTTATGTTCAGTAGTTTGCCATTGCTTTCTGAACGGTTAGCTTTTGGTACTACTGTGGAAACCAATGCAGCTGGGATCAAACCCAGCACTATGGCATTGCAAAGCCTGTTTGCAACGCCTATGTCACAGATGCAAACAAAGGCACACATTAAGAGGCAAATCGTTGTGAGGTATCAAGAGAGAAGATGACACACAGCAGTGAAGAGAATGGGAGATCTAGAGAGAAAAAAACAGATAATGATAGAGACAGAGAGCATGGATAAAAGGTATAGCAAAAATAAAATAAAGTGACATGCAGAAAACAGAAATAATGAGAAGCCTATATGCCAATGAAAAGTTGTCAACTGCAGTAAGTTAGAACTGACTTAAGTAAAAAAAAAAAACTGACATCACAGCACATGGTTTATTCTCATCTTCAGCATCCTATCCAAATCAGGCAGTCCCTTTAAACAGTTTAGAAAAATTAGTTGTAGAGAGTCCAGATGAAGAAAAAAAAAACTAAATTTTTGTGAAATCTGGCAAATATCATGGGAAGGGAAAGACAAAGCCTTTTGTGGGTGGTATGGTCACATTTAAGTATCTGGACACATGGATAACATCAGATGAGAGATGCATGACTGAGAAAAGAAACAGAATAGGAAAGGCAAAAACTGCATTTTATAAAATTAAGAACATCTTATGCAATATATGTCTGTCATTAAAGGTTAGAAAAAGAAATCTTGCTTGCTACATACATCCAGTTTTGACATATGGCTGTAAGTCCTGGACAATCAGTAGGCAGGCCAAACAATTTCTTGATGCCTCAGAGGTGTGGTTTCAAAGAAGAATGCTTAGAATACCTTGGACAGCCAAAAAGAGCAATCAAGAGGTTTTGAAAGTGGCAGGAGCCCGAAGACAACTTATCACAGACATCAGAAGGGGACAGTCATCATGTTATGAGAGGGAAAATGGAACATGTTGTGACCACTGGAAAGATTTGTGGAAGGAGGGATAGAGGAAGACAACAAGTGAAGATTCATGACAGTCTTGTTGCATGGCATGGAGGTGTTTCAGCGCACAAACTAATACATGCTACAGGAGATAGTGGATTGTGGAGAGGCATGATCGCCCACGCCAGTCGGCAACGCACCTGATGATGCTGGCCACATGGCTGTGAACTGGTATTGAAGTTTATCTGATCCCGTCACGTCACAGTCGCATGGTATTATCATCATTATTGCCACCATCATGTTAGTCAGTCCAAAGACTGGTGTTGAGCAAGAACACAGATCTGATCTAAAACTTGTGAGATGGTGAATCCATTCCTTTTGACATGGCACATGATGCTGGTGATAATGCTTCCACGCTCACAAACTAGATAAGTAAAAGTAAAGGACCCTTTTCCACGCCTTTAGGCATATTGGGTGTATAGGGCTAGACCTACATTTTATAGACCAAACGGCACTTGGTTGGTGATGTGGTCAACATCATGTCGGCCACCTTTACTTCCTAGGACTGTACCAGGTACCCACTTAAGACTGGGTCGTCCTGGGAGCCAAGGTCATTTTGGAAAAAAAAGTCTGGTCCCTGTCAGGATCTGAACTCATGATCTTCCCATCCGCAGGCAAGCCTCTAGCAGATAGACCACATAGGCTACCACAATCTAGATATCTTAAAGTTATTTTTAAGTTCCATTAAAATAATGAGCCATTTCCAGGCGCAAAGTACAAGCTGGCAATTACCAGTTGAAAGATGATCTGCATGTCTGTCAGGTTTTTTTTTTTTTAAATTTTTTTTTTTTGCTCAGCTTTCACGTCTGGCGCATAAACCAATAGCATTACTGATTGTCGGTTTTTATTTCTGGACAAAGCTGTTTTTATTTTTTTTGGCTGTCAGTTGAAGCAAAAAACTGCTAATCACAAGTGCCAGCCTGAATGTGGTAGTCCTAACTGGCATGTCTGGGAAGGTGAAAGAAGATAAGGGTTCAGCTTACTACCACTTCTGTTGGATAATTTAATAGTTTGTGTGATGCACGCATCTAGTTAGGTGCCATCTGCATCAGTGTGGATGCAGTCGATATCCAACACTTTCTTTTATTTTTTTCTTCTGCATTTGCCCTTTTGTATGGTGTGCTGTGGTTTACAGCTAGGCTATAGTATCTGCACCTTTTAGCAAAGCCCTGATCAGTTGCTTTCAATGACATGCTTCTGTGGAGGGGCCATAGATCTATTCTCTACACTCCCCCCCCCCCCCCCCCCCTTTCTCAAAATCAGGCTCTAGAACACACATGGAGAGTTCATATAGTAATTTGAGTATTAAATACAAGCTTTGAGGTGCCATCATCATCAATGTTGGCTGGAATGGATCTCCAACACTCTGTTTTCTACGCTCTCTCTGACTTCTGTTCATTCATCATTTGATGTTTTCATCCCACTTATTTCATTCTGTGCCTTTTAACATAATGGTCCTCCTTCTTTTTCATTCATCCTTAAAAAGGCTGTTGGCATGCAATGTTGTGGTTTGCAGCTTGGCTGCGATAGCTGCACCTTTCAGCCGGACACTTCTTCTTTCAGGCAACCCCAAATTAGTTGCCTTTTACGACATACTTGTTAGGGGGAGCTAGTTCTATCCCCCCCCCCCCAACTCCCACACAATAAAGCCCTTGAACCCACCCCCCCCCCCCAACTCCCTCACAATAAAGCCCTTGAACCCACACAGGAACATTAATTTCAAATAGGATCCTTTAAAGATTGTAGTGTCCTTTTTTATGTACACAAAATATTGTTTTTAATTTCTATTTCTTTTATCAGATCTGTTTTTATTCTCTGTCTCTTCTAAATCTGACTTTTTGTTTATCTAAAATGGGACTAATTCTTGTGCACATCTTGGGGGCCACAGTTTGACTTTTTAAATTGCCCTGTTCATTGTCCAGTTTTCCTTCTTGATTTCTAAAAAAAAATTTTTTATCCATTATTTATTTTTATTTTTTCCCTGCTTCTTCCCTTTTTTTTTTTACCTTTTCCCCTTTCAGCTCCTTCCCCCCCCCCCCCCCTTTTTTTTTTTTAAATTTTCCATTTCTTTTCTTTTTTGTAACCTATTTCTTTGTCCCCAAAAAAGGGAGTTATTTTAGTTGCTGGCTCGAACCCCAGGCTTATACAGGAAAAGTAGAAGCTCATCTTTCTGGGAATGTTTGAAATAACATACAGCCTTTAACACAAAGAGAAGCCACCACACATTTTGCTTCAGCTGAAAAGATTCTCTGAATTCTTGAGCCACATTCTTTCAGTGGCAGTACGGGGCTAAAGGTCAGACTGTGAACATGGGGGAAAAACTGGCAGTTTCACTGAAAACTGAACGTTCGTGTCTTTTAGGATGATGACGGCTCACTTTGAGAGTGGTTTTTCTTTGTTTCCCTGTGTCATAGTGATATTGTTGCATTTGTGGGATGTTTGTATTTGTTTGTTTGAAATTTCAAAGTCTTGTCTTGACTTCTTTTGTTCATCATGATTTGTTTCTCATACTGTCTTATCATTTATGTAATAAACAAACAAACATTGTATTGATTGGCACTCATAGAAAGATAGAAGGAAACACTAAAATAGAAGAAATTATTGGCACATAAAAATGAGTCACACCATATGCCCAATTCATCACTGGCATCCGAAGGGCCCTTGACCTACTTCTCCTTTCTTTCTTTAAATTTGGTACGTTACATTGTTCCTCTGCTTGTGTTTATTTTGTTTTCTCATTCTGTGCCTTCTCATGAAAACAGCGGCGATTCTTCTTCATCTTCTTCTTCGCGTTCACCAGATATAAACTTCTGGTTTTTTATCCACTTCTGGACCTTTAGTTTTGTTCCAGAATTTGAGTTTTTGCTTAAACATCAGTTTTACAGATCTGGCTCATTAGTACACAGGCTAATTCCTCACCTCTCAGGTAGATGCACCCCGACTTCGAAGGAACGCCCCAAATTAGTCGACTGTTATGACATTTTTGTAAGTGGGCAGTGGGTCATTTCATTTTTTCCCCCTCACCATGGGGCCCCAGAACCCACACATCGAAGCGTCTGTTCTCAAGCGGGTCATTTCACAGCTTCTCATAAGAGGCATCTAAGTTTACATTAGGTTGACTAACTTTATCCAGTAGAAAACTGAAATCCAGCAAAACGTGGACAAGAGCGAACAAGGGAGACGAGACAAGAGAGAATAAGAGAGACAAAAGAAATTGATGAAGACAAGAGAGAATATACTCACTGCCCCCCTAACAAGCATGTCATAAAAGGTGACTATTAAGGAATCGCTGAAATCGGATGTGTTGAACCAATAGGGGCAGATATCACAGCCTAACTGTAAACCACAACACAGTGTACCAGTTGAACTTTTAAGGGTGGCACAGAAGAGGAAAAAGATCAATGAGCTGACCTGAGTTTTTTGAGAGCCTTTGTCTATATTATTCTCCCTGTGTCTCTATTCAGTCATTTCTTTGTGAGATGCAATTTTTCGTTATTTGAAGCCCTACTCTGGCTCTTGCCAGGGGCCGCAATGTAGCCCGGCCATAAATATGGTCTAATGGCTGAACGCGGTTTCTGGAACCTCTCCACGGGTGATCCTCATCCACATGGTGGCTCTTTGTGGCATCGGGTGTTTATCGCTTGTGTGATGTCCTGGTGGGGTAAAAGAAGATAGATAGATAGAGCCTTTGCCTATATTATTCTCCCTATCTGCAGATGTCATATTATTCTCTTTGCAGATATCGTGAACCAAGACCTCAAGTCCACTCTAAGAGTTCTCTACAACATCTTCACAAAGTACAAGTCCACTCATGGTGGTCCATCCGTGATAGCCCAGTAGGGACAGTGGTCAGCTTCTGGCAGCCTGCATGACTTTTTCCTGTTAATCTCATTGTATAGAGAACAGTGTATGCTAGTCGTGATGATTTCAGAGAAAGGGTATCAGTCTCTCATTTCTATTGATACTCTGCTTGCTACCAGGTAAGGTATCAGTCTCTCACTGCTAATGCCTGGCATCCTATCAGGAAAGGTATCAGTCACTCACTGCTTGTGCCCTGCATCATACCAGGAGTGGTATCAGTCTCACTTCTAGTCTCTCGCCTTCAACTGAAAGATTTATCTCAGTTTCTTCGGGGATCTGGATTTTTGCACTTCCTGGCTTTTTATGGTAGACTTCTGTTTCTAATTCTCCAGCTGTGACCAGATTATCTCAGCTATAATTATTTAAACCATGTCTAAAGAGGTTGTATCAGTCACTCTAGATAAAAAATTAGACAATTTTGTGAACAAATGTCTTAGAAGAATACTAAATACCCACTGGACAGTTTTCAGATCTGTCTAGAACTTTCTTACTGCCATCAAGGCAAGTAGCTCATGGGCAAACCCATGACTCGAAGGTTTAAACAACGGATCAACATCATGGCACACGGATAGTAACCAATAAATGCTGCGTTCTTCTTCTAACTTAAGTCTGAGTCCGAAGAAGCTAAGCACAGTGCACAGGCTCTGTAGCACCGGTGAGGATCCCCTTGACAGAAACGTTTATTCCTAAACACAACTAACCCAACACCATCAGAGCAGACACATCAGTCTTGAATATAATGAACACCAAGCAGTGGGCAGTTTACCTGGGAAAAATTGGTTCACGTTACCAACCTCATCACATGCCTGCCTCTTCAGTACCGTACCAGTCTTACAGCTTTATTATTTAATTTTTTAAGTCTCACAACCATCTTAAGTCAGACTGTACTACCTTCTTCCATTCAGCTCCATGGCTGTCAAACTTTTTTGTTAGCCCAACAGCCATCACAAGCCAAACTTCTCTGTCTTCTGCCATTTTCTGAAGTACCTGCTTACACTGGTGTTTTGCCACCTGGTCTTCTCATTTCTTATCCTGCTGCCATTGTTATATTAATTACATATGTATGTATTATTTAAAGTTTGTATTATTTACCATAACAGAATGTGTCCCTACTGGTGCCTGTACTTGCATGAAATATTTAAACACTTGCGTATTTGTATATGTGTGTATATTACATTTGTAAATTCCTAGTTTATTTATATTTCTAAATCTCAATGTCAGAGTGCAGTGTGCTGCCATCTGCAGACCAGTCAGGTTTTAGCTTTGTTTATTCTTCTCACAGATTCTCCGATAGTATTCTTCTTCTTCTTCTTCCACGTTTCATCCGTCATAATTCCACTGTGCCTGTTTACAGCATGACTTCAATATTTGTGTCTTTCGGTTGGCACATCTTTCGGTCAGCACATCTTTCGGTTGGCACATCTTTCGGTCAGCACATCTTTCGGTTGGCACATCTTTCGGTCAGCACATCTTTCGGTTGGCACATCTGACTTATTCAGGCATGTGTTGCCCGAGTTAGTTTTCCCAGCTTCCAGACATGGAATTTTAAATACATGATCATGTAACTTGCCCAATAGTGTGACTTTCTGGTGTGTCCATAGATCTCTTTCCATGGTGTTCTGTACATAATATTCTCCCAATGCTCCTCAATATGTACAGATTTTGAGCTGTAAGAGTTAGCCTTACTAATTAGGGGTATATCTTTTGAGGTCCTAGTGCATCTGTCTGAGAAGCAAGATACCAACAGTTTGCATACAGATAAGTTAGATCTGTAAAACTATGTGCACTCAAAACTCAAGTTCTGGAACAAGACGTAAGTTCAGAAGTGGATGAACAACCAGAACCTTTACCCAAAGATGACAGCCAGTGAATGCCAAGAAGAAGAAGTCTGATCCTGTCACTCGACAGGCTAGTTTGGGAGGCAGTGGGTCTGTTCTTGTTTCCCCCACAATAGGGCCCCAGAATCCACATGGGGGAACCCATAGCACACAATTTGTCTTTTCCGATGTTTTGTAGAGTATATTAAGCTGTCTGTAAATGAGGCAGTTCTCCTCGACCTTGATTGGAGAGATTAGATGTCAGTGGGCTTTATTTTGTTGTTGTTGACACATTGTGAGAAAGAATAGACTCAAGAATTGGTTACAACTGGCTAAATTTATAGGAAAAGAATAAGAGGAAGGTAGATTAATAAATACCTGTGTGGCTTGGTCATATGGATGGTGGATGGAAGGGTGGGGGGGAGGGAAGGCAAATGGGCACTGATCTGACCCATGATTCTCGTGGTCATGTGGGGGGGGGGGGGGATGGGCACTGACCTGATTCATGATTCTGGTGGTCATGTGAGATGATGAAACATAACAGCTTACACTTATCAACATGGCACATGATGATGATAAAAGCAGTGATTTAGAGTTGCATGAATACAGGTTTTATTTCATGATTCAATCACATAACCCTGTCGTATTTCCCGCAATAATGGTGCTATATATGTTCTATGTTTCATATGTTGTCAGTTTGTGATGTGCAGTTGTATAGGTCTGATATAGGCCTTACTGTTTTCTCTAGAATAATAAAATCATATTATCTTGGACGGCTCAGATTATGTGTAAATATTTTATTAAATTTGTTCCTGTTTACCGTGGTCTTGATGGTAATTTTCTGGTGTGTATTCCGGGGCTCAGCTTTGGAGAACAAAACATAGACCCTCTGCCTCCCTATTCCAACAGTGACCTTTGGATATTTTTTTCAAGGTGATGCTGGTGTGTTGGGAAATGAGCAGGCAGATATTCTGGCTGGTTTTGCGCCACATGGTGGTGAATTGATGTATGACAAGCTAGATGTTGTGAAGGCCCTTTGGGAGTGAGTGAACAGTGTGAGGGCACAAATAGATCATTGCGGTCTGAAGAGAATGGCGCTGCAGGGAGTTACCGGGGGGATTTCTCAGCACTCGAGGGAAAAGTGAGATGGATGTACAATCAGGGAGTTACTGGTACCATCGGTATTGGAGGGGGGGGGGGGGGGGGGGGGGGTGGGAATTGGGTTTAGGGAAGAGATCCACTGTTTCTAAACATGCATGTTGTAAAATAGAGCCCATGAAGGATTAAATCACAGCACTACAGCCCTTCCCCCGAGAACTCTTTAAAAAAAAAATAGGTTATGACCCCATTAGAATCCCTAATTCATTAAAAATTAAGAATTTTTACACAAGTCATTAATAAATTTGTTGAAAATTTATTTAAAGACATTTTAAAATTATTGTTTGAAATATATAAACGAGTAATAAATAAGCATGTACATGGTGAAGCATTTCATCGAATACATCCCCTGGAGCCTTTAAAAAAAAAACTTTTAAGGTGACTCATGATCTTACCCCTGACCCTGGCCTCTGAGGTGTATAAGAAAATCTGATGTCATCTTAACATTAAAAAAAAACTTTAGCACAAAGGAAAACCTCTCTAAACGCTATTTTTAGTTAATTCATTTATATCCTGACCTACTCCTTCTTATACTTCTACTCTTTCGCCTTATACTTCTTTTCCTGTGCTGTCGTCAGTTGTCCCATGATGTGCTCCTCATTTGCTACCCTGGTCTCCTATACACTGAGCAGTGCAGGCAGAATCCCAATCTACTCTATTGTTATAATGTACACAACAATGACTGCAGTAACTAAGCACTTACCTACCAACCTAAACGTCTTGGGTTCCAATACGTCTTGGGTTCCAATCTGCAATCTAATATGTGAGATGCCAAAACATGACCGCTTATGCTTATCAGCTGGGCAAATGATGCCGATGATGACTCCCAGGCTGGACCAGCCTAAAATGGGTACCAAGAAATGTTCTTGGGAGTAAATGTTGGTGGCATAATATTGACCATATCATTCATCGATGGCCAATTAAAACTGGATTTAGTATATATGCCATTCTTCTTCATTATTCCGAGCCCTTGAGGTTCATTGCTGTAGATGTCACATGCCACCATTCGTCTCTCTTTTTGGCCTTCTCTTTCCAGTTGATGACACCAAGTGTTTATAGGTATGTCTGGACATTATCTCTCCATCGCCTTCTAGGTCTGTCTTGTGGTCTACAATCATTCTTCTTCCTTGTTTATACAGTTTTTACCTCTTTTCCATCTGACATTCTCCCAATATGCCCAAGCCATTTCAGGCTATTAGATCTCATGATGCCAGTGATCAGTGGTGGTTTAAACAGATTACTAATTTTGTTTTGTTGCTTCTCACTCTCCCTTTCCTGCTGTTTTCATCTTTGATGAGTCCAAAGATGCATCGTAGGACTCTGTTTTCGAAAATTTGTAATAATCTTTCATCTCTTTTAGTTGTGCTCCAAGTTTCAGAGCCATGTAAAATGACTGGTCTTATCGTTTTATATATTTTGGTCTCAGTGTTGCGGCATAGAGTCTTTGACTTTAACACATGCTGAAAGGCATATTATACTTTATTGATACATTCTTCTTCTTCTTCTTCTCCTCCTTCTCCTGCACCACTGACATTTAAAAAAAATACGAAACAAAACCCCTAAAATAAAGCAACTTAGGTGATGGGAAAAAAACTAGTCAGTTTCTCAGTAAAATATAATCACCAAAGACAAAGTGAATATTACGGCTATCAAACCTTCATCAGCATACACAGTCATGGGCAAAAAATACAGCTTAAATAAAGACAAAATACTACATACAACTGCCTAGCTTTATCTATTCTTCTCTAGTGCTGTTCTGCCTTTGGGGACTTTCTTCGAAGTCAAAGTACATCTGCCTGAGAAGCGAGGAACCAGCAATCTGCATGCAAATCAGATCTGTAAAATGGGTGTGCATGCGGCACATATGTTTCTGAATAACACCAAAGTCTAGAGGTGGATGAAGAATGAGATTCAACCCCGCCAGGGCATCCACCAAGAGATAAACACCTGGTGACACAAAGTGCCACCATGTGGATGAGGATCACCCGGGAGAGGTCCCAGAAA